CAAGTAATAGTTTTTTTTTGTTTTTTGTTCCTTCATGTTTATACCTCTACCATTGTACCATTCAGAGCTTGATAGCAAGATGGATGTGTTGATTTACCGGTGCGATGATTAACCAACGACGGCGACAACAATTTTGTTTTTTTTCCCTAGACATCGCACGGGTATTTCACTAATATAATAAAAAGTAACACTTTTATACTATTATCATCTTTATATTTATTTGTACTCATATCTTTTATATTTTTATTTTTAAGCAAAGAGTATATGGTCCTGGAATACAGAAAATCCTCTCGCAGTGAGATTCTTTTATCTAGTGAGATTCTTTTATCTTCATCTTTGATTCAATTTTTTTATTTAAATAGATATGATTATGGGATTGATTATTTAAATACTCAATCAAAAAGATTAAACAATTTTATATTTTTCAATTTAAAACTTGATCTTTTATTAGCATATCGCTGATTTATATCACAATTAATTTGAGAAAGTCACTTCAGTCTTATGATGGTGTTTAATTGTTTTCATGTGTAACATTCCATACAATCAGCACCTAGCATAAATGATATCACATTAATTTTTAAATTTTATTTTAAATAAGGGAACGAGAATTATAATGAGATTTAAATATAATGTAGCGGCTATAAAAAAATACTCTTTAAATCTAAGCAGCAGATATAAACTAAGGTATATGATAAAATATTCTTAAAATTTAATTATACATATGACTGAATCAAATACATTGATTTCTTGTCTCTAAATTATTTTACATCAAGAAGGAACTTTAAATAAACTTCTATACATGAACTTCGTACGGTCCTCATAATCTTTAATCATGATACTTCATCCTACTCCAATGATACACATACTGACATATTTACTCTCTGGAAAGGTTAACATAAAAATAAACAAACGTGAGATAAATATCAGTAATATTGAGATTTTCGAACTATAACCAATCCAACCACTTTAGTGAAAAATAACATTCTCTCAAATATGTTTCTAATAAAAAATAATATCATGAATAATAAATATAACCTCATACCTTTGTAGGTTCTTCATTTAGATATATCCAAACCTTTGTTGGTTTTACATACAAACATATAAAGGAACGTGTAGTCTTTAACTAAAATGACTAATGCTCAATTCTCTGAGCGCCCAAATTCTGTGGGTTCTGTATGTGAAAGGTTCAGTATGATGGAGCTCAAGCCATGATAAGATGTCTCTCACCCTATAACCATTCTGATCTCCTTGTGAGTCATTCACATCGAAATCATAATAAAAGATTACCAATTTTGTATTATTCATTTGGTACCAAAGGAATTTCTTAATTCTATATTCGTGATTCAAGATCATTCTTATAACTAATATGTGTAAATTAATCAAATTCATAAGCTCAAAGATAAAAGATAAATTAAAAGAATAGAAAATAATGAGAAGAAAATATTTAGATAGAGTAATGACATCTTCACATCTTTTAAAGAAATAACTTCAAAATATCAGCTTTACATATAAAATAAATAAAAAGAATAATTACAAGTTAGGTGTTTGTAGTTCTTTTAAAGCTGAACTCTGGGGTGTCTTCCGGGGATTGGAAGTCGCCTGGAATTCTGGGTTTAGGAAGGTGGTTTTGGAAAGTGACTCTTCTAGTATGGTCACTGTGCTCACCTCTTTAGGTACAACTGCTCGTGAGCATCATTTGATTGCTCGCATACGAGCTTTGATGCAAAGAGATTGGATTATCATATTTCATCACACTTCTAGAGAAGGGAACGTTTGTGCCGATTGGATGGCGAATTTCATCTTGGATAACATTGGGAATTTAGATTATTTCGTTAGCGGAGAGCCTCCTCCTAGAATTCAACTGTTGTTCCTGGCTGACCTTGCTGCTGTGGGCCAACGGCGGACTTGTTTTGTTGCAATTGTCTGCAATTGCAGACATAAAGTTAGAGAATTTTTTTTTTCATTGGTGGGTGATTCAGGTCAAGTAAAAAAAAAAGATTGAAAGGAAAAAGGTAAGGATAGGTCCAACCCAACCAACCCCTATAATTAAAAGCTTAAAAGCTTAAACTTGAGCCCATTGCTCTATCTCTTTTTTTTAAGCATAAACCTTATTAGTTCCAAATCTTAATAGATATCAACGATTCCTGAAATTCAATTTTGCACGAGATTTTTCACGTTTTTTTGTGAAAATTCTTTACGGAATCTAAATTTCCTCAAACCATTTCCCCTCCAATCCATTGAAATTTTTGAAGAAAAGTATTTCCATCAAAAATTTCAACAGAACACATTTCAATCGAAATTTTTTGATAGAAAATATTTTCGTAAAAAATTTTAACGAAAATTATATCGGTAAAAAATTTTGACAGAAATTTTTTTGTCAAAATTCTTTATGTAATTTAAATTCCGTCGAATTTTTCAACTGAACATATTTCTATAGAAATTTTTTGACCAAATTTTAACATAAAAATATTCCGTCAAAATTCTTTACAAAATCTAAATT